GGGGAGGGGGGGAAGGAAGGAAGGAAGGGAGGAAGGGAGGAAGGGAGGGAGTGTTCTCATTAAATGGGAAACTAACAAATTTAGCACATCAGATTGCCAGTTGCTAAAAAGCTCAAAGGAAAAAATTGAAAAGTTTGCAAGACATGAACTTCTGAGGCAGAGTCAGTTTTCTTACTAATTTGTTTTCTATGCTTCATGACAAATTACCAAAATCTTAGAACTTTAAAAGGACACACATGAATTGTCTCACTGTTCCTGTAAGTCAAAACCCAGGGCACTGTTTAGGTGGATGTTCTAGAAAACTGCAATCAAGGTATCATGAGTGCAGGATTCTTTATTGGAGGCTTGACTGGGAATGGGTTCACTTCCAAGACTGTTCAGATTGTTTGACAGAATCATAAATTTTTACGGCTGTAAAATTCATGAAAGCTTGTTTTTTCAACACTGGCAGTTAAGAGATACACTACAACAAATAACCAGCAAGATTCTTTTATAATATAACTTAATCATGAAAATGACATGACGTCATTTTTGTCATATAGCACGAGTTAAAACCAAATCACAGTCCTTGCTTACACTCATTGAGAAGAGATTATACAAGGTCATGAACATCAAGAGTTGGGTATCATGGAAACTACCTTAAAGTCTATCTGCTACATTGTGGAAAAAAGGATATTTTCCTAAAAGCTTGGTGGTAAATGTAAATAAAAATATTATATATACATATCTATCTGTCTGTCTATCTATCTATCTAAAACCCTGGAACTGGAATATTCTGAGATAACATTGACAAAATACTAGAAAAAGAAAGAAATTAATTTTTTTGGTTAAAAAATATCATCCTTCATTGAAAGTTCTCTTGAAATAATACAATCCACCTAATTCATCAATATTTCTTATATATTCAACTGCTGTAGCAAGTCCAAGTATATATAAACATATCATTTTAAGTGCAAAGGATAATTTGATCCAGCACACATAACAAACATACTGTAAAGAAGAAGACAGAAATAAGAATTAAGCAATTCAGTAATTGAAAATACTGTACCAGACCCAAAATTGCCTGGCAGGAAATATTAGGCAAATATAATAAAAAGGTACATAAATTTTGCTTGCTTTATTTTCTAATGTGAAATAAACAATACTTGAGGAGTTCTTTCAATTTCATTAGTTTTATGTTTAAATTATACTTTCTCATTTTTTTGTATCCTAATGACGTGCTTTTCTACTAGCTATATGTTGTCTAAAATAGGTGCTCAACATTTTTTTTATTAGCAAATAAAACACTTGAATGGCACATTCTATATTCTTGTGGTCCTTTGTTCTTGTTATTTTCTACTTCTTTGCATGCTTACATGTAACTGGATCATATTATTACCTTGGCAGACATTTATTTCAAGTTAAAATAAAATAATATTGACAATATAAAATCCCAAATAATATTCTAACTGTTTTCTCACTGTTGTTGTTTGCATTATATGCCTCTCTGATGTTTAATGTTTCAAAACATTAATGTTTATGTTTAAAAAATAATAATTTCCCAAGGATGCCTAATTGCAATTATTCAACTTAACCTCAAGGGTGCACTCACCACTGCCATTTCTCTCCAAAGACATTTTAATTCTGTTTAGCTGTAAGAATCTCCTGTGAATATTTTGACAGTGGAGGGAAGAAAAATATCTGGTTTTTTTTTTTTCTGGAGAGAATATTTTAAAAAACTAATTTTCCCACTGGAAGGTGAAGAAAAAAAATAACAGCCCATTTTTTGTCCCACAGAATTATTGAGAGTCAAGTAAAACATTATTTTAGTAGATTTTCCTAGCATCCAGAGTCAGAACATTGTTACTCTTATGGAATTGTTGAGAAAAATAATAAATACCTGGCCTTGGTTTATAGAGTTTGGAAGAGTCCTTTTACATTTCAAGAATGTTCTGTCCCCAAATTTTTCATTTAGATGTCGTTGCAGATTATGTCTTTTTCATGGCTATTGTTGCTTGATTTTCACTTATGATTTGAGCCCTCTCCCTATGTACTAAGAGCTTCACCCAATTAACGATTAAACAACTTTATCACCTCTATTTGCCTGTTTCATTGTAAGTATTGTCCTGATTGTGATAAAGATCCCACATTTCCTTTCCCTCCTTTCTTCTTTCCTTTTTTCCCCTTCCTTCCTTTTTAAAAAATGTTTCTTTTTTTTTCTTTTTTTTGAATCTCATCTACATTTCAAGAAAGCTTGATTTCTGATCTGAACCCTTGTGCCATAACCAGATGCGAATTGCCCATTTTGCTGCTTCTACAGACTCTAGTTTTACTCCTAAAAGAAAATTGGTATCAGACACTTCGTTACTCAGTGAAAAACTCTGTAATACTTCCTGAGTTTCAGACTTTTGCCATTGATTGAGACACCCAGATTTCCCACTCTGTCACCAACTCTCTCCTGAATCACCAGTTGTGGGACCTGTTGGACACTTTGCTGCAGTCTGGTTGTGGCACCTTCTAACAGCAACTAAAATTATTCCACCTATTTAATTTAGAAAGAAAAAACTTTTTAAAGTTTTTAAAATTTCCAAATTCTGTTTGTTTCACTGGAATTATATACATAGTCATTTAATAATTCTGATTTGTTTTTAAGTTACTCATTGTCTATATAGGCAAGACTGACATTAAATATCTTGAAAAATTATGGAAAATGACTTTTAAACTTTAAAATGTTTTATTTTTTAGAAAATCAGAACATGTGGTCATTGGGTATGTATCTTAATTACTAAATAAGAATATTTTGCATTTTAAAATTTTCTATCGAGTTTTCACACACATATGGCCAAATTTCTAAAAGAAAGTAAAATATATTTGGTAAGTATATATATTTTTGTATACAAATATATTTATTAACCTCTCGAGTAAATCAATATTAAATGGCTGTTAATCTATGAGGCAAATACAGTAAATTCTTTTTGAGGGTCATGGTTAAAATTTATTTTCAGAATTCAATACAACTTGGTGACTGATTTATTGTTTATTATAGGCCTTGTATGTTTCCTAACTCAGCAGATGTCATAAAATGTAACCCTGTACTCAATGAATCATTGTTTCTTTTTTCATTTATAGACTTAGTAGAATTTGACAATAAGAAATGAAAAATCATACATCTGCGAGCCAGTTCATTCTTTTGGGATTAACAGACGACCCAAAACTAAACATTTTGATTTTTATATTTCTATTATTCACATATATACTGTCTGTAACTGGAAACCTGACAATTATTACCCTCACTCTGATAGATTCACACCTCAAAACACCGATGTATTTCTTCCTTAAAAATTTCTCCTTTCTAGAAATCTCGTTCACCACAGTTTGTATTCCTAGATTTCTTGTCAGCATTGTAACAGGGGATATGACCATTTCCTATAATTCTTGCATGGCCCAGGTGTTTTTCGTCATACTCCTTGGATCAACAGAATTTTTCCTTTTGACTGCTATGTCCTATGATCGCTATGTAGCTATCTGTAAGCCATTGCATTACACGACAATAATGAACAGCAGAGTCTGCATGCAGCTTGTAATTAGTTCCTGGCTGACTGGATTTCTCATTATCTTTCCACCTGTGATTATGGGACTTCAACTGGATTTCTGTGACTCCAACTTCATTGACCACTTCATCTGTGACTCCTCTCCTATGTTACTGATCTCCTGCACAGACACAGCATTCCTAGAGCTCATGGGATTTTTCCTGGCAGTATTCACTCTCATGGTAACCTTAACATTAGTAATTCTTTCTTATGTATTTATCCTTAAGACAATTCTGAGAATCCCTTCTGCATAACAAAGGAAAAAGGCCTTTTCTACTTGTTCTTCACACATGATTGTTGTCTCCATTTCTTATGGAAGCTGCACTTTCATGTATGTCAAAACTTCCGCAAAAAAAGGAGTGGCTTTGACCAAGGGTATAGCCGTGCTCAATACCTCTGTTGCCCCAATGCTAAATCCTTTTATTTACTCCCTACGGAATCAGCAGGTAAAACAGTCCTTTAAGAATGTGGTCAAAAAATGTTTCTCAAATAAATTTTAATCATCCTTTTGAAAGTGATAGCCTGAACTTTTAACGGAGACTTAGCCATAACACAATACTAACATTGTTCTATGTTTCCATCCAGTACTATATTCAACTTCTTTTTCCTTCAGGATTTGTTCTATTTATTCTATTTTGACCTCACTTTGTCAATTATTCTTTTATGTTTACATGCTCTGAAAATTTTCTGTGTGTGAGTGATTTAATGTGTCATAAAATAATGATGTTTAACAAGAATGGCAGAATTTAGTTTTATTTATTTATTTATTTATTATAAAGATGTGGGGTACAATTCAGGGTTAGGTATACAAATGTTGATTATCCAGGTACCGTTGTTGATGAGGTATGCCCCTTCCTCCCCTAGCAGTTTCCCTCAACTGCCAATCCCACCCCATCCCCACAGTTTCCCACTACTGCCAATCCCTTTCTTATAGCATTATAATTATCAAAACCACATTGAGATATCATTTAACCCTAGTTTTAGGCAATCATTGAAGGAAGTTTCCTTTAGGCACCAAGGAAAAGCTAAATACAAACCATCACCAAGCAATTATTTATCTCAGTGTGTAAGCACATAGTACTAAACAAGCTATTCTGTGAAATACAGTCTTTTGACATCTAGTATGCTTATATATCTCCTTTGGTTTTTGCATTATAAATGTTGACCTATGTTATTTGGTGTATAGGCATTATATATCTTCACAGTGAATACTATCCTTTAATATTACAAAATATCTTACTTAATGCTTACTTGGTCGCAAATTCCAAATACATCAAGTCTGGTTTCTGTCAAACCCCAATACTCTCTCCCCAAAGCACACTTAAGGAACCATACTGATGGTTCCTCTATAGCTCATTACTTTATGTAAATTTTTTGATGTTGAGCCTAGAACTTCTCTGAAGCTCCCTTGGAAAGAAATTGCTTCGCCTTTGGTTTCCTGATATCTACCATTCCCTCTTTTGATTTTTCTAACATTGTAACCTCCACACTTTCTATCTCCCAGTTAGTTTTTTTAAATTTCCAATATACTCTAAATTGTTTTCTAGTGTTTGTATGATTTCATTCATATATATATATATATATATATATATATATTTTTTTTTTTTTTTTTTTTTTTTTGGTTTTTTGGTTTTTTTTGTTTTTTTTTTTTAGTTGGAGTCACTCTGTTGCCCAGACTGGAGTGCAGTGGCCGCTCCCGGCCACCGCAGCCATGACCTGCTGGGGCTCTGGCGATTCTTCTGCCTCAGCCTTCCAAGTAGCTGGAACTACAGGCGCGCGCTATTACGCCCGGCTCATTTTTTGATTTATTGTAGAGATGAGGTCTCACCAAGTTGCCTGGGCGGGTCTTGAACCCGCGGGCTCAGACAATTCACTCACCTCGGCCTCCCAAAAGCACAGGATTACAGGCTGAGTCACCGAACAGATTTGCTTTTCAAATCTGTTCAAGTCTTCAGTATAAAGAGTGCAAATGAAAATCTTAGATGTTGCAGTCTGAGTGTGGTTTATGATAAAAAAGGATAGATTCACACACACACACACACACACACACACACACACACACACACACAACATCAAAAGACCACTGAGAATACATTGATATGTTTTGAGTTAAAGCAAAATATTTAAGGTATGTATACATCATCTTGCAGGATTTCCTGCTTGGACCAAGTTTTTCTGTCTGCGACAATTACTGTTAAATCAAGATCCTCTACCATGTTTAAGACCCTATACCCTCTAAATAATATATATTTAAAGAATATAGCCAATAAAAGTTTATTATATGAATGAATCA